ATATTTTATTATATAAACAATCAGTGACATTGATTATATTAACATAAACTCACTTCCCCCTAGGGTTCCTATTTAATATCCTGAGTTGTTGTCAATTTGATACCATATAGGTAGTTCTTAAAGTGTAATGTTCATCACAGTCAATTTTTCCTAGTTAAGTAAACTCTTTTGTCGTTTTAAGAAGACCTCAGGGGATATTTTTTTGGAAGCAAAGTTTTCTGATTTTCAAATGATTTCTTTGGGCCCAACACTATATCCACATTATCCTTTCAGGCTACATGTGGCCATGAATTACCAAGGTTTTTGTTTTCCAGTCCTTCTTTTAAAAGTATTTTATAGGTAGCCTATTTTCTGTTCCTTATTCCATTTCTATCTCTTTTTTCCTCTCCAAATATCCCAGCAGGACAACTGGTGCTAGAGTTTTCCTGTAAGAGGTCATCTGAATTAGAGGGGAATTTATAGCATTAATACCATTTCTGATGATTCCCTAATTTCAATGACTTGAAGTGTAATCTAGGATTAGGTTAATACCTGATCAACGTCACAGATTGTCCTTCATTATGGTGTCTGAAGGGATGAAAATGCAAGGCCCATAATTGACTTAATGAGATAGCAAAGATCCAAGTGTGTTGGATTTTAATGGAAACCAGCAAAGTAATTGCACACTGGCTTCTATTCCTTTCTTTTAGTCTTAACTTAAATCAGAGACAGCCCAGGAAAAGCTGACAATAACCATCCTTATCTATAACAGTTTCACAAAAATATTTTGAATTTTCTGACTTCCTGAATTACTGTTGGCTAACAAATGTACAATTAATGTTTAGAAAGTGGACCATTGATGCACTATTTAATTATGAAACTAGTATCTGAGAGAAAACTAAGATATTGTATGCTAGAGAATAAAGAGATCTAGCATTTAAATCATGCTGTGGCTTTTTTTATTTTATTGGAAGATAAAAGTTATTGTAAAACTATTTCGATTGGTTATTCAGCAAGGCCTCTCAGTAATGATGTAGGATTTGGTGGTAAGATGGAGAATAAACCTAATGTATTTCTCCTTATTTCTATTGCTATTTCCCTAGTTAAAGCTTTGAGAATGTAACACCTTGATAATTGCAATGTTTTCCTGCTTCCACCTTTGGTGGTTTTCAGTCTGTTCTCAAAATATCTACTCATTTATCCGCATGGATGGGTTCCCAACACCAGGTCATAGTTCAAAAATAGGTCTTATGTGAAAATGAAAGTTGACCACATCAGATCACAAAATGGTGGATAAATGCATCATAGCATAACTGTCAAGTCACATCATTGCCCCTCCTGTTGTTGTTGTTGTTAGGTGCCATCGAGTTGGTACCGACTCATAGCGACCCTATGCACAACAGAGGAAACACTGCCCAATCCTGGGCCAACCTCACAATTGTTGCCATCCTATAGCCCATTGATGCTGCCACTTTGCCAATCCATCTTGCTTGGGTTTTTCTCTGACCCTCCACCTAACCAAACATGATATCCTTCTCCAGAGACTGGTCCCTCCTGACAATATGTCCGGAATATGAGGGACGAAGGAAGACTGTAGAAGAATTGATGCTTTTGAGTTATGGTATTAGAGGAGAATATTGACAGTGCCCTGGGCTTCCAAAAGAACCAACAGATCTGTGTTGGGAGAAGTGTAGCCAGAATGCTCCTTGGAGACCAGGATGGCCAAATTTCATCTCTCATACTGCCCCTCCTTCTCCCACCAAATATCTCACTGCCTCAATTCTGACTCTTAGCAATCCTATAGGACAGAGTAGAACTGTTCCATAAGGGTATGTGAGGTTGTAAATCTTTACAGAAGCAGACAACCTCATCTTTCTCTCACAGAGCACCCGGTGGTTTCATAATGTGGACCTTTAGATTAGCAGTCCTGATGCTTTACCATATGCACCGCAAGGGATCCTTTTGCATAATTTTATAACTGCCGAATGACAACTATTACAAAGTGACCAAATTATATTATTGCGTAACTGCCAAACCACGAAGAATCATGGCCCAGTCAAGATGATATATAACCTTAGCCATCACAGCCAATATTGTTCTTATACCTGATTTTTGTTACTGCAGATGTACGTTATTAATGTGGAAAATAGATAGTTGATTTTTTTACTATTGTTGTAAATATAAAATAATGGAATAATGAGACAGTCAATAAGTGAGGAGTAGAGCAGTCAGTGTGATCTTATTACTTCATAAATCAGACCGTATCACTCTTCTCAAAACTCTCCCTCTAATGCTTTCCATTTTACTTTAAGTAAAACAAAAAGAATGGCTATGTTTTTAAAGCCCTTGTATGATCTGGACCTTCATTATGTCTCTAACGTCTCTATATCTCTCCCTATTACTTACTCTGTTCTAGACATATTCACTGTGCCTCTGACACGCAGCTGGCATGTTCTCACTTAGGGCTTTTGCCCTGGTTTTTCCTCTGCTTGGAGTTCTCTTCCCCAACTATAGCTACTATACTCATTGCTTTTTGAATTGAAGGCTATCTTTGCACTGAAGTTTTCTTTGACCATTCTGTTTTAAATGGAAGTACTCCGCCAACATTCCCAAATCCCTTTTCCTATTTGATTGTTTTGTACCAGGTCATATTACTTAATGGTGTTTGTTGGTGGTTGTGTGTTGTCAAGTCACTTGTAACTTATAGCGACCCTGTATAGGATTTCTGAGGCTGTAAACTTCATGGGGGCAGAAAGCCTCATTTTTCTCCTGTGGCGTGGCTGGTAGATTTGAACTGCTGACCTTGAGGTTAGCAGCCCAACGCTTAGCCCATTATGCCACCAGGGTGCCTTAATACATAGTAATATACTTTAGATTTATTTGCTATAGTTTAGAGAGTTAACTTCAGTAGGACAGACTATTGTGTGTGTGTGTGTCTATACACCTATTCCTCACTTATCAGCTACTTCATTATCTGACATCTCACATTTATTTCAATAGTAAAAAAACCAACTATTTTGTGCATTAACCTGGATTCCCATCCCTCACCCCAACTCCTCACATCCAGCTCCTGGCCTTCAAAGCCACCCGTTATCTGTCAGGCTTGCAACTGAAGCAGCCAGTTTCCCCAAAAGCCTGTTGCTTATTCCATCCCCAGTGCTGAATTCACTGGTGAAGCTTTTCGTGTCAAAGAGGTGACTAGGGTGGATTTTGAGGAAGCCCCTCTGAGAATGGTGACGGAGTGGCTGGAGGTGTTCAGGAGGAGGTGAGAAAGGATGGTGGGAAAGGATGGGGAAGATTACTGGTGTTTCTCACTTTTACTCAAGTGCCCAGGAGGGACCAAGTTTTACAATGGAAAGGGTGGTGGTTATGTGCTCTAGAGAGGATTCCAACTCATAGTGACCCTGTCTGTATAGGATTTTCAAGGCTGTAAATCTTTACAGAAGCAGAAAGCCTTGTCTTTCTCCTGCAGACCAGCTGTGGTGTCGAACTATTGATCTTGAGTTTAGCAGCCTGACTTGTAACCACTATGTACTAGAATGGAAGTGTCGTGGTTATGTGCTGGGGAGTCGGTTCCAAATCATAGCAAACCTTTACAGGGTTTCCTAGGCTATAAATCTTTACGGGAGCAGAAAGCCTCATCTTTCATCTGTGAAACAGCTGGTAGTTTTGAACTGCTGACCTTAAGGTTCTCAGCCCAATTTGTAACCACTACGATACCAGAGCTCCTTGGAGTGGAAA